AGAGAGAACAATGGTTAGACATACATTGGACCAACGCTGACAGATGACAACTGAGTGAAATGTTACACTTAAATATGACATCTTAAGTACAGGGGAATATCGATTTAATGACAAAGAATGTTACTGAAGACATGTTACATCACCAGTGAGAAACAACAAATGAGAAGATAAGTAACATGAGAAAGGTATTAGGCCTTCGTCTGTTGGGCGAGCAACTAATGTGTGAATTGTAATGAAGTTAGGAAATGAAAACAAGATGAAAATTGGAGATGAAACTAGACATACCGAAATCAAGTTCAGTTGAGCACTATCATATCGTCTGTACAGAACCACAAGAGCATTAACCTGGCTTGTTTAATAAAGGGCAATGCCCTTCTGGATCTCAGCAGATGATCATTTACATCATCATCAAATCAGAATTCTGTTTATGATACATGAACCCATATCTAAATGTACAACACACATGAATACACACTGAGGCATAAATTCATATCAACAATGATCTTTGCTATCATGGCTTGTTTGATACAGAGGACAGTCATGTACAACTTTGTTGAAAAGACCAAAATCTTTTTGAAGGAATAAATTTGACAGATGAATGATCAGGAGATTGAAAACTTGCAAATATCTGTACCAAAAGAAAAAGTCAAACTGATACTCATGTAGAATATGAAGACAAATATTAAGCTACTTTCTTATAGACTTGTCTTTAATGACATTGAAAGTGACAAATTTCTTGGAGAGAATGCAAAGATGAAGTGTGATGACAAACATGGTGCTCCTCATAATGTATGGGGCATCTCTCTAATGGAGGTACACGTAGAACGGGACAAAACATTCCATCCAAGGAGAAAGTGCTGAGATGAAACAAAAGTAACTGATGATCAATGTGATGAGATGGATGAACGATCACCATGGCAACATTACCTCCTCTTCTCGCCCCTCCTCCTCCTTTCTCCGCCTCTCATCCTCCTCTTCCTGCTGCTGTCTCTCACGCTCCTACAGAATTCAAAGAATTGCATTTTGTTTAATCAGCTGTAAAACAAATCTTGGGAAGGACCTCGGGTTAAAACCGCAGATAGTGCATGTTGAAAGGAACATTTGATCCATCCAGTTAAAGAGATAGAGGATGATATCAGACGCCACATTCATGAATCATTCTTTGGTCCATGAACATGAATGCATGTTGAAAGGAACACTTGATCCAACAATTTAAAGAGTGACGGACTGATATCAGATGCCACACTCATGAGTGATTCATTGCTACATGTACATCAATACATGTTTTATTCTGTGCTGTGTCTTATGATTTCAAAGCAAATCTTGCCAAGCATTTCACTCTATCAAGTTCTATATTGGTTGATGATTTCACAACTTCAACTCTGTAGCCTCACAATTATACTTATATACAAATATAATTTCATAGGGAAAGTCAGAAAATCAAACATTTCTGATGGAGTAGCTCTGTATGTGTGAAAGCTGGATGACTGGGATGGATGGAACTGCAAAACCTGATGAAAGAAATGAAATGAGGAAAAAACGGTTGAATAATTCTTGAGGATGAAGCAGCATGTGGATGGTCTGAGATGAGATGGAGTTCACACGTTTTACCTCCTCCTCTCTCTCTTCTTCTCTCCTCCTCCTTCTTCTTTCTTCTTGCTCTCTCTCCTCTTCTTGTTGTCTCTCCTCTTCTTTCATCCTCTGACGTTCCTTAGGAAAAAATTCAGCAATGTTCACAAGAATATTACTCTGTTAAGAAAGTCTTTACAAACGTGAGGTTCACCACTATTAAAATACATGTGATACTGCACAGATAAACGTATTAAATTTTTTTTTTTAATATTTTAAAAAATCGTCATATGTATACAGAGAAAATTTGAGTAGTAACTTGTAAACATTGTCTGTTAACAAAGATCTCTGTGATCAGTAAAAGGGGATAAAGAGAGATTCTTCAAGGGATATAGTTGGAAACATTTAAAAATATTTTGATTTTTCATCATTTGTTAGAATCATCATTAGCATGAATCTAATTCTCGCAATACGGGCCCAGTAATATAGCAAAAACAGAGCCCAACAGTTTAAAGAAAAGTTAAAAATAGAGAATAAATTGACAAATTATTTGGGAATTCAACATCTCCTTCATAATGAACACAATCTCATATCACTTGAGATATGAATACATCGTATATTGATCTACCGGTACTTAGTAATATAAATCTAATTTATACTGTATCACTGCAAAAGGGTTTCAATCTGTACATCGATATATAATACAGTAACAGAGGTCAATACCAGCATGAATAACATGAATATTCATTATCATTCCAAAGTCGACATGCATGAATTATATGAATATTCATTAGTACTAATATTCATAAATATTCATGTAATGATGAAGAAAGGAATCACAGGGGAATGTTCTACATGTGGAGATGGTTTCAAGGCACACTTTTATCCTGGATTGAAAATCTGAATATAAGATGAACAAAACTCTTGTAGAGGTAAGGGGAAAAATGATTTTCAATTAGTGATGCAGGTGTGTGTAGGGTAGAGCAGAAAGAGATTCAGGCATCAATGTTAAGAGGTGAAGTTCTCTTCTGCAACTCACTGTTTTTTATAATAATTTCTTTAGACATTTAAATTATTATTGTATGGCTCTCTGAAACCTTTGATGAAAGTGCTTTGTAAACACAATGTGCTATTAGTTTTTAATATTAAAATGCTAAGGCAAACAGATGGCACTCAATGCCATTATACCCAAAGGATTATGAATGAAAATGACCTGTATGGTATTTTGGGGGGCTACTTTTCAAGCTAGCCTGCATGAAAATAACACTCTAAAACTTTGTTTTGCATTGAACTCTACCTTTATGCAAATTTACAGGGGCTCTTTTTTATTTTCGGGGGCTCTTTTGGGCATTTCCGGGGCTATTTCGCCCCGAGCCCCGTGTATTTTTTTCACTGGCATTAACTCTAGGGGAAAGTGTGTCAGTTAATACCCTTATAGCTCTTATACGATGAAAAACCCCTCAGTTTTACACTTTCAACATAATACACAAAACCCCTTTCTGCTCTGACATTCTGATAAAAACTTGTGATGATTTGGAAAGAGGGAAGGAGTGAAAGGAGGATTATTAAACAGACTTGGGTGAAGGTAGGGTCACTCCTTCTTTACCTCCTCCTCTCTCCTACGTTCTTCTTCTCCATCATCATTATCTTGTTGTTGTTGTTCTTGTGGCTCTTCCTCTGCCTATAAAACAATTGTTAGCTTGAGCTCATTAGAGCAGTGCAGACTCGACTCCTAAAATTTGCTTTTTTCAGAAACATTACTTAATTACTCATGCTTAAAACAAACTGACTATATAAATGAGACATTGTAAAGAAAAGTTGTTGATATAATTTCTTGATTGAAAGTGGAATCTAAGAAACAAGATTACATAATATATTAAATTCAACATGATTTTAGAAGTGAAAAACAACCATTTGACAGAATATTGACATCAACATATTAGTGAGAAAGTTGTTGTACTATGTCCATTGCTTATAAAGGCAGATGGTGAGTTTGCATAATTTTTACCACATGTATACATGGAGGAATTCCATGTGTTAAGAAAGAACTGGGACCCGTCTCACAAAACTTGTCATCAGTGACAAATGACAGTCTTTGTTATAAGCTACTGAAATCCTTGCTTCGGATTGGCTATCAGCAGAATTTGTCACTGATTTTTGTAGCTTGTCATTGAAAAAAGGCTTTGTGAAACAGGTCCCAGGACCCCGTTTCATAAAACTTGATATCAATAACAAGTTACAAGCTACTGTTATAACTTATAAGCTACTGAAATCAAGGCATCTGATTGGCTGAGAGCAAATTTGTCCTAGAAATTGTTCATTTGTTATAGACAAAAAGTTTCATGAAACGGGCCCCAGGTCTACACTTCATGTTCATATTGTAATTGCACAACTGTAACTCTTCATTAGTATATCGTCTGTTTGGAGCCAGAAGGGCATTAACTCATGTACTTTATCACAGAGTTAACGCCCTTCTGGCTCTGAACATATGTGAGAAGTTAGAGTGGGTAAATGGTTAGTTCAACAAGATATCATCAATCTTACACACATTTTAGTATTCATTTGAAATTACCGGAGAAGCTGCAATATTGGGTTGGATATTTGAAATATATAATTAGCATATAAAGATATATTACGGACAGGAAGTTTAACATGATCCTTTTTTTTTAGAAATTGGAGAATTAAAAAGAGCTTGGTTGTTTTAAATATGTGAATATAGTGTAATGAGAGTATATTTTGCATTGATATTTCATTTTTGGAGGAAAGAAGCATTGAGCAAAGTACATACTGTGGGACTTTAGCAGTGAATGTGGGGGAGGCTTCTTTTGATGTTGGAGGGGGAGGGGGAAGGGAGGGGGAAGGGAGGGGGAAGGGAGGGGGAAGGGAGGGGAGAGGAGGGGGAAGGGAGGGGGAAGGGAGGGAGAGAGGGAGAGAGGAGGGGAATGGAGGAGGGGGATTTGGGTTGTTATCCAAGCTTCAAACCTGAGTGATTCTCATTTCCTTCTGCAGACAGGACTGATTTGAAGTTCAAAGTGAACTAAAAGTCCAGGTTTCAAAGAAGTGCTTACATCATAACAGGAAACTAATGCAGATAAGTCTTTACAATGTACTTTCCCCAGGCTGTTGCCATTGGCAGATCCTAAGGCACAGGACATTCATCATCCCTCTCCCCATCCCCCACTCCTTCTAAAAATTTGCTACCCTTATATTTTGCTTTCAAATATATTCTCCATCCCCACCAGCCTAAATGTGCGTACCTTCTTTTTGAATGCCACAAAGACGTGTATAAACATGCTTGTTACCCCCCCCCCCCCCCCCCCACTAATTTAAAAATATTAAAAACCGTGATAAAAAATATCTAGAATCTACCACTAATTCAAGCCAAATTAGTCTTTCTCATAATTTGTAAAAGGGCTGAAATGCTAGACTACCTCTTCTTGTCGTCTCTCTTCATCTTTGCTTGCTGCTGCTGCCGCTTCTTCTTCTTCTTGCCTTTGACGCGCCTCTTCCTCCTCCTTCTCACGACGTCTACGTTCTCTCTCCTTTCAAAAAAAGAGAGAGAAATATAACACAATAATAATAATAATAATATTGGATATTTTTATAGCGCACATATCCACCATGCATGGTGCTCAAGGCGCTCCAACTATTACCCCGCCTCTGCTAGGCAGCCGATTATGGCGCTCACAGCATTCAAGGAATTTTTTCCTACCGGTACCCATTTAACACCTGGGTGGAGAGTGGCAAATGTTGATTAATATCTTGCCAAAGGACATTAGTGCCATGGCGGGACTCGAACTATAATACATGACAGCGAGAAAGTCATATAAACATAACATCCCAGCTTTCATTTTCCTCGTATTTCGTCTGATCCAAGCTGAAGCGAGGCTATAAATTTCTCAGATTCATTGGGTATGGTAAGAAATTTGATGCTGTCAGTTATGTATGGAACAAACTACCCTAGACTTGCCCATACAGAGTTCAACATAATCAAAAAATATATATTATGAAATGATACTCCACCTTTGTTACAACCTGAATCGGGTGATAACAGAAAAGTAAACTAATCACTAATTTCATGCAAAGACGATGAGCTACGGACACATCAGACCAGGTCAGATGTCCTTCATATTCAATGCTTCATCCTTGCCTCTCCTTCATTCATATGAGGCAGCAGAATATTAAAAAAAATTATTACAAACATGAAGAAAATTATTTCTTATCTCTGATATATCTCTGATTGTCACGGTGCCCCCCCCCCCCCCCAACACCTACAACTGGGTGTGCCATTCACTCACAATATACGAGCCGGGAGCCAGTAGGCTCATTATTCACAGGTTACCATCTCCCAGCCAAGTTTGAATCAATCAGCTTCTAAAGCTGGGTGTTCCTTGATTAAGCCCATGGTGATTAGAGAATTCAGTATTCAAGAGGTTAATCTACACTTGATGCCATGAACATCACGGTCCCGTCTTACAAAGAGTTGTGATTGATCTAAATTAATCGTAAGTCCTCCAATCAATCGCAAGTCCTGTCTTACAAAGAGTTGTGATTGATCTAAATCAATCGTAAGTCCTGCAATCAATCACAAGTTTGCAGTCTCCTATCTCATGTATGTACATAGTTGCAATTGATATCAATCGCAAATAAGTTGCGATTGATATCAACTCTTTGTAAGACGGGGCCCAGTAGAAGTTTGGAATGAAGAAAGTACCTACCTCTTGTTTCTGTCTCTCTTCCTCCTCCTCTCTCTGTCTCCTCTCTTCTTCTTCTCTCTGCCCTTGTGTGTCGTCCTCCTCCTGCTGTTGACTGGATGATGTGTCTTCTACGGCACCACTCTGAAAAATCAAAACATCAAAGAGGTTTGTACTAACTCTTCTGTGGCGAGGCTATCTTTATGAGGCAAGATGGCTCAGTGGTAAAACTATGGACTTGTAACTGGAAGGAACTGGGTTCTAAACCAAGTCAATGTGCTAGTGCCCTTTGGTAAGGCATTAATCCTCATTACAGAGTACCTCAGAGGGGACTTAAAGCCGTCAGACTCCTGGTTGCTTACTTAAAACAGTATACACATGCTTTCTTGTCCGGTAAAATAAACCATCAAACCAACCAACCAAAGAACGATTTCAATAAAAATCTTCCCCAGATCATGAAATTTTCTGATGAATGATATCTCACAAATGAGATCTCAGAAAAAGTTTAATAAATGATAAATAGGTATTAATTTGTATTAATTCTTTTATCAATTGTCTCCTATAGTTTGTGTCTATAAGCTCGCATTGCAAATAGGGAATACACAGGGCCTAACCAGCCAAGAGAAGAACTTGTTTATCACCACCTCCATCCCTCCCCCTCCCCCCAAAAGAAATTCACTGTCAATCTTTGGGCGAATGGTTAAAGAGTATGATGAATATAAAGAAAAACACAGCATTTGTTTAGAGCCTGAAGTGCATTAATTCATATCACTTTCCAGGGAGTTAAAATATTACTTTATTTCTATCATGGTAGCACATTGCTGGCTCCAAAACAGATGAAATACCAGTAACCCTTGCAAAGAACCCGAGTTGGAATCGGTGTGTATTACTCTGACTTTGTATAATTATTCTGAAAGTATCAGTGTTAAATCTAGTTCAAACATTAACAGAAAATCAAGAAAATGTTAAATACATGTACATTAATAATTAACACAGAAGTTTGAAAGACAATTAGTGTAGACATAGCACTCTAGTAAGATGAACTTAAATTCAATGTGAGAATTTGTCATTTTTCATTCCATACTTCTGTTGGACCCACATTGAATTGAACATTGTCTATGGCTATCCAATAATGCTTACTTGAAAAAATAAAGGTATTTTACAAAATAAGATAGTTATTTCACTGCTTTTATTGCATTTTTATAATATGGCTTAATTTATACCATTCCATTTTTTGATGTTCTTGTCAATGGTCTGTATCACAGTTTGCTTTCAAAATACATGCAGATGGGAATGTGAGATTCACAGCAAATAATGAAACTAAAGTTTTGAAACAGATCGCATATTATCCATCAACTAATTGCGTGATTGTTGGAAGAACTTATCCACCAAATTTGAATTATTGTCAATTGTTACAAGCCACAAGGCTCTTGTATTCATTGAAAAGAACAAAGGCCAGTAGTCTACAATTTAATTTAAATATGGACCAAACAGTTTAAAATCTTCCATAGCTTGCAAAATAAGTCTTCTTTCATACAAGCAGTCCTACGACTTCACACCCTAGAATTTAAAAACAGGCTGGAATGTAGATACAAATGTACATGTAACAATGTATCATTGGAACAGAACTCATATATTGCATGAAGACAACAGTTTTATAATTTCATCAATATTTAAATTTTCAATTTTAATTTCTTATGAAAAAAATCTTCTTATCTCATTTACAAAGAGAAATACCTCAATCTTTTTTGGCGTCAACGATTCATTGTTGTTCTCCTCCCGTTGCCGACGGCGACGAGATATGTATGTTGACTACAAACACACATGCAGGGAAAGAAAAATCACACAAGAAAAGGAAAAATCATAGCACTCCAAAAGTGATGACGGAAATTCATTCAATGAAATGAGATTAGTTAAGATGATGAAAAACTGAAAATCATGCAACAAAAGAAATTAAATCATGTAATCATAAAAAAGTCAATTAGAGAAATTAAACATTATTCTAAATTCAGAGTTAAGATATGGCACAATATTAAATCAGGTTATTTCACAGAACAGAAATTATCCTGACAGAATTAGTTCAAACTTCAAAGTAAAACATTAAATCAAGGTAAAAACAAATCAAGGTAAAAACAGATGAAGTTTAGTATAAAAAAACATACATGACAGAATACCAATTCAATGTGACAAAATAGTTTGATGAAATACATCTTGTTCGTAGTTCTACTTGGCATAATATCCCATTCTCAGATTGACCACAACAATTCACACCCAACACTTTTTTATACATTCAAAATACTGCCTTTTATCACTCATTCCTTACTCTTTTCTCTCATGGAAACATAATGGTAATCTTCAAAGTTGGACTAAAATAATCAAGAGGATTGGAAGAGGGAGGGGGTTCAAATGAATAAAATTAAAAAAAATCAGGGCCCCGTTTTATAAAGAGTTGCGATTAATCTAAATCAATCACTAGTCCTCTAATGAATCCCAAGTTTGTAGTCTCCTATCTCTTTCTGTATGTTGTGATTGATATCAGTTGCAAATAAGTTGTGATTAATCACAACTGTTAATATAAGATGGGGGGGGGGGGGGGAGGAGGGCATCTTACAAGAACACTTTCTCGGTTTTATTGTCAGGACTCCTGCTTTAAGCCAAAGTCACAACTGACCATGAACTCTATGGCAGGTCCTTAGCAGATTTCATATAAAATAGTCTCAACATTTTTAAAGCCAATATGGTGTGCTTAACCTGTACAAGTGATAGGGGTGAATAAGTTCTCAAGTACGGTAGCCAAAAATACAATAGGGTTATATTCATAGCCCATTTTGTACTTGCTTCTATGCAAACGGGGGTCATATTTTGTAGAACCTTTTCTGAAGGCATCCAAAATAGGATACCATTTTCACCCCCATAAATGATGATCCATTATCGCCTTTGAAGATAAAGTGATACCAGGAGGGTGCATGGCCAGTCGTGACCTTGGTTATATGGCTTCCTTTAAAGGTAAAGACCAGTTCTGGTCATGAGATTGCATAGTGAAAGAAACGTTGTGGAATCGATCAGAAAAAGTTGATCATCTAGCATATAAGGATTGGTGTGTACTGCAAGGTTCTGGAATCATCAAAATGATAAGAAATTTGGCCCAGCCTCGGTAAAGTTACAAGCACTGTACACAGAAAGATGTGTAAGGGACTACGGGATATCTATCCAGTCCGGATAGATATAATAGTTTACCAAATATATCAATTAGTAGGCGGTTTCCCAGAAAAATGTGTATCATCACATATTCTTTCACATGATTGGTAATAAGAGCTTCCATTTCATTATTTGAGAGGGTGGCGTTTCCAAAACTGGCCTTTACCTTTAACTACATTCCACAGTCAGTCCCTCTCACTCCGCTGAACAACTATCCTGTTTCAATTAAACATGGTTGCGGGGGAATACTCTCATATCATATGACAGCAGACAGGAATGTTAGCTGAATGATTGGAAGCTAGACTAAAGTGATCCCAAGCTAAGTGCTTTCTTCATCACATGTGGTGTGTTCTCCTAAACTTAATAATATTCAATTCGTACATTGCACTCTACATGTTAACCCTTTCCTTCCTTAATCTTTTGTATGCAAGAGATGGAATGACGGATAAAAAGTTTTAAAACAATTTCTAAATTTTGCTTTTTAAATAATTATCCTGACAGAGATTGGTTGAAAATAATGAAAACCTCACATTTAATGCTGCAATTTTACACATACACCTCTTTCTTGTATCGCTTTGAAGGGGTTAAGTCTACTACAAAAAGCCATCAGTTTTGTGATGGTGCTATTTTGTGAAGTTTCATGTATATTGCAAGTAGCATGTTGGTGTTCATTGTTTGCACAGATATCTATATGCAAAAGTGGAGGCTTTGGAGTACCGGTATTCACTTAATTTAACATCATTTGCCATGTTAATGCAAGTTTATAGGCCTGTTTGGCCTCAGAATAATCTAATAGAGCAGTGCTGCCAGAGTTTAAGGGTTGCAATATTCTAGATGGAGATAGCCTGGATCTCCTAACTCTTTTTTGTATACCTCTCTTCCACCCTTTATAGTATTAACCACATGTCTCTAGCCCCCCCCCCCCCCCCCCCCCCCCTCCGAAAAAAAAATCTCTCTCTCTCTGTCTATCACTCTTTTTATATCTTTCTCTCTCTCTCTCTCTCTCTCCCTCAATAACTGTATCTATTCATCTTTACCGGACAGCTACAGCACCAGAGGCCCGTTTCACAAAGCCTTTTTTTAATGACAAATGACAAAAATCAGTGACAAATCTGCTAATAACCAATCAGAAGCAAGGATTTCAGTAGCTTATAACAAAAACTGTCATTTGTCACTGATGACAAGTTTTGTGAAAAGACCCCCAGAAGAACAGACTACTAAACTTTCAAAAGTCAATAAAAACTAAACTTTAAACTTAGTCACTTCTTCACATGATTACAGCATAGCTTCCCACATTAAACCAACGGTAAATTAGATCTGCCATCATCCACCATGGGTTCAGGAGCTAAATAAATATGAGATGCATGTAAATGTTTTACTGGTCATTGGTTAAGTGTATAGGATGAGCATGTGTATAGTAGGACTATGTCTATTCCATCTGGCCATGTCACTGTGTGTTATCATTGCTAGCCACGGCCATGCTAATATAGAGTTTGGTTTCCTGTGCCGAGCTGTGTAGGGCTACTCTCTGGGTTAGATATGAATGTATTATAGAAGGGGCGCGCATCCTGAAAATACTTAAAGGGATCTTTGCCTCAGATTCTGAAACAAAATCCTGGATTTAACTCATGCTGCAATCATAATTATAAACCTTTAGGTCAGTCAGGAACTCCATGACTTTTACAAGCCAATCGCCTGTCTGATTATCAAGATATTTATGATTGGAAATCAAAGTTTAAAAAATTGTTTTCCTAATGGTTTTTATTACACTACAGTCTATTGGGGAAAATGTCTACGGTAAAACCGGTCACTCACAGATTTATACTTTTTTGAGGCACTTCATTTGCGCTTCAATTCTTTTTAGGGCTTCAATATATTACACCATATCACAGACACTGATAACACGTAGGGCCATGCATCCCAATCTTGTACAACTGGAAACATTGTTAAACGGTGCCTTTAAAGAGAGATCAACCCTATGGAGAAAGTTTGCTTGGATGGAAGCAGAAAATGAATGAATCAAAGAAGAAAGTCATTTTATCATTGTTCTGTTTCTATGGAAGCCAACTTTTTTGAGGGGTTAGTTTCAATAAACAGGGCTTTACAGTAATATTTCATCAGGAGCTTAGGAAATTTAAAAGGAGAGAGAGAGAGAGAGAGAGAGAGAGTAAGGATAAGAGAAAGAGACAGTGACCAAAAGAGGAGAGACAATGTGAGAAAGAAATGGTAGAGATCTTGACATCAAGATACAAAAGAGAAAAAACGAGAGATAAATATACAAAGAATGAAAGAGAGCGTTAGAAAGAGATGGAGAAAGGATGAACAAGAAAAGAGACAGAGAGAGAGAGGGGAAAGGGGAGAGAGAGAGAGAGAAATTAGGGGAAGGTATAAAAGAATACAAGGTAAAAATAAAAGGGAGAAAAATGAAAAGACAGAAGAGAATGAAGAGAGAGAGAGAGAGACAGCAAATGAAAAGATTAAAAAGTGAGAGACAGAGGGATGGATGGAGAGAGAATACACAAAATGAGGGGAAAATCAAAGGGAGAAAAATGAAAAGACAAAAGAGAATGAAGAGAAAGAGAAACATCAAAAGAGAAAATATTAAAAAGTAAGAGGCAGAAGGACGGATGGAGAGAGAGAGAGAGAAAGCACAAGATACCACATTTCCATTTGAGATGTCCCTGACTGAATGGCGGGCATAGCTAGCATTCTTCAAGTACAAGGGCTGGTGTAGCTGGTGTATAGTGATACCATAGTGATACCATAGACACATCTTGGACAAATTATAGCTCTAGTTTGGTAGCAAAGAAAGAGAAGGTTCTACACATCCAGGTTCACACTTTAGAATAAAAGATCTTCACAAATTATATCTCCAGTTAATAAGTAGGAAAGAAAGAAGGTTCTATACATCTGTGTTCAAATTTTAAAATCAAGAATCTCCATACCAGGGTCACCATTCATATCTATTGTCTTGCTTTTCATGAACTTTTTAATAGATTTAATGACATGAATGTATTTTTTTAAGGGTTAAAAATGGCTTTTAAATATTTTGTAAGATATGACACAATACATGTTTGCCTTAATACTTACATTAATGTCAGCAGATGAGTGTAAAAAAAATACTTTTCTGTTTGTGGGAGCTCTTTTAGGATTTGGTGTTGTACAAATGAAGTAATCTCACAGTTATATTGAAGTATTTTATTGATTTTTTACCAGAGCTTTCTTTCAATATATATATACCCAAGGTCTATTGGGGCTTTCCAGAGCTATAGTGTAGGAGATGCATTTGATAAGGAGAAATAGAATATGAAGAATAAATAAAACTACATGATAATCGCCTTTTACCATTTTGCTCTTGATGCTGTTTCAGATACCCATTTGGCCCAGTGCCTCAAATTTGCAGAAGATAAACTAATCTTCATATATTTATTTCCCGTTTCTTCTTACAGATTATCTCACCTTTTGAACAAAGGCTTCTCAACCACATTTAAAAGTACTTTCTAATTGATAAGAATTTTACTGAATCAATTTTTCAGATATCTCCATGTTTGTAACATTCTATGTCCATAGCTCTTTCACAACTTTCTAAAACTAAACCAGTCAATGCTCCCATC